TAAGTAACCTGCTTCTTTGTACCTGGTTCGTAAGTGAGTTTAAGGGGATCCTTGTTAGAAAATACAATTTGTATTGGGTATGACTATTAAGACAAATGGATGAAGAAGTGCTTCATGGCTGTAATTGAGTTTGTAAGGATTTTAGGAGATCTTAATGACCAGATGCTTATTCTGGTTATAAAAAGAACTTAAGTTATGATGCAGAAGCTTTATTCAATACTACTTTTGTAATTTTAGTGAGTAATTACTTTTATTATATTTAGAGAAAGCAAGTGAATTAGATTTTTTTTTTTTAAGGAAGGGTTCCCCTTGGCCCCATTCACCTTAGAGGATGCTGGGAACTGAATGCAGGTTGACCGCTTGCTAGGCAGGCACTTGACCCATTGTACTATCTTTCCCGCCCCAGGAGGTTGGTTTTGAGTACAATTATGACTTGGGCAAAAGTTGCTGAACATTTAATGAAGATGGCAACTTCAAGTTAAAGTGGTCTATTCAGAACTCCTAGTGTTATAACACACCAGGCTTATTTGTTAAGATCATCACACTTGCAGACTAAATGTATTAGCAACTGTTTATCTTTCTGTTCTTTGTTGCAGGAGGGTATGGTTCCATTCCATTTTACCCAAACATGATATCAGATTATCCAGGAACAAGTTAAAAAGAAGGGAGACTGGTTCCAGAACACATCTCTGGAAATTACCCTATGGACCCTGACTCTCATGACAGCATTTCAATGTAGGTTCCCTATTAGCATTGATAGCAGCCAGTGGTCTTTGAGCTTATCACATAACGTATACCTGTTCACTGAGGCAGGGGGTGAGAAAGGGTATTTTAAAGATGGTTAACATCGTGTTAGAAAAATCATGGTAATAGGGAGTTGTAAAAAAAAATGGCCTTGGTGAAGAGACCCGGAAACCTGTCATTGACAAGTTGTCTTTTGTGTGTGGTCTTTTGTGTGTATTTGCAAAGTAACAGCAAAGCAACAGCAAAGCAAGTATGTAATGTCTTGTTACTAGTTCGGTCTCTAGCTTTAAACTCCAGGTAACTTACTGACCTAGATGACCCATAAATAAATAAGGTTAAATAAACTACTTTGTTTACTAGCCTGGGCTGTGTACTTTAGGCTCCAGGTATCTTACTGACCTGAATGACCCATAAATAAATAAGGTAAGAGTAAGTACTTGCTTCTACTTTGTGTAACACAATCCATACCTTCAGCCAACATCTCCTTACCTATGACCTGTCATGTGCCCAGTTACAAAGCTCATTTCTTTGTATTTATTGTTTGGTTTGTAAACTTTTTTTTCCTTTTAATTTTTATTAAGATACTGTGATTTACAAAGCTGCTCTTAAGAGAGTTGCTGTAGGCGTATATTGTTCCTGCACCAATCCCACTACCAATGTCCCCTCCCCATCACCAGTGCACAGGTTCCCTCCCAGTCCCCAGCCTGCCCCCTGGGAGGCATATGACAAATTTATTTCATATTACTTGCTCTATCGGAACTTAAAGGAATGGCAGTTGAAATTATTAAAACAGAAATCAACAAAAGTCAGTTGGTGATGCTTGATTGCTATATGATTTTAACCTGCATAAATAAAATAATACAGTATTTTCATTTGCATAAGCTTTTATGACTGGCATCTAAAATATATTTCAGTACATTTTATTTTGTATTTGGATCTTACTGTTGTAGTTATGTCAAATAATTTTTTTTTTTTTTTTTGCTTTTTGGGTCACAAATGCACAGGGTTCCTCCTGGCTTTGCACTCAGGAATTACTCCTGGCGGTGCTCGGGGACCTTATGGAATGCTGGGAATCAAACCCGGGTCGGCCGTGTGCAAGGCAGACGCCCTACCCACTGTGCTGTCGCTCCAGCCCTCTCAAATAAAATTTTAATTTTATTTATGACATAACTACTGCTGTGTCTGGCATATGGAATATGTCACGGGGAGCTTGCGACTTTTTAAATCTTTCTTTTAAAATTCTTTTTTTTTTGTGGACAAAACCACAACTGCTGATACAGTTAAAGAGTTTGCCAACTTTTTATATTCCGTGAAATAGACAAAGCCTACAAATATGAATTTTAGTAAGAATGAAGAGAAATTTGAGAATTTAAATGGGAAAATATGAATGTAAGAGTATAAAGTGATTTATCTTGAAAAAGGAAATATGGCAATATTGCTTATATAAAAGTATTATTATAGATACCTAAGTGTTTGCATTAATAAGTAAAAGATTTAAATAAAAATCTCACTGTTAAAGTACTTGTCAGACTTAGACAGTCCATATAAATGAGATTCATTATTGAAAGAGTATGAAATCTCTTTGTAAGCTCAGAGTAAGCAGACCTTTTTTTTTTGGGTCACACCTGGCGATGCCCAGGAGTTACTCCTGGCAGTGCTCAGGGGACCATATGGGATGCTGGGAATTGAACCCGGGTCGGCCGCGTGCAAGGCAAAGGCCCTACCCGCTGTGCTATTTCTCCAGCCCCAAGCAGACCTTTCTTAATCTAGTGGAGAGCACTCAGATGCACCTTCATTGAGTGCCATAATCAGCATCACCTGCTGGAAACGTTGTCGTGTTCTTTAAAGAAGCTCTGTTAACGCTTCTTGCAAAACTGGTTTCAAGGCTGCGAATTCCCCAAGTTGTTGTCTATGACTCTATCATTTTTCAAATCTGAATGGTAATCTAGCTGGATAGAGTAATCTTGGTGAGGTGTTCATGTCACTGAGTTTTTGTGTGATATGCTTCCACACTTTTCTGGTTTGTAGAGTCTCATTTGTGAGATCTGCTGTAAATCTTTTGGGCTTTCCTTTGTAAGTATTTTTTCTTTTTTAAATTCTTGCTGCTTTCAATACTGTGTCTATCTTTGGCATTTGTTATTTTGAGTACAATGTGTCTTGGAGTTTTCTTAGTTGGGTATATTTCCATGGATTTGTCCTCCTGGATCTTGGAGCTTGTATTCCTTAACTCTGGGAAATGTTCTTTTTTGTTGTTGTTATTGTTTTTGTTTTTTCTTCTTTTTAGACCACTCCTGGCTGTGCTCAGGGTACCATATGGGATGGGATGCTGGGAATCAACCAGGTGGGCTGCGTGCAAGGCAAATGCCCTACTCGCTGAATTATTTCTCCAGCCCCTCTGGGAAATTTTTATCAATGATTTCTTTACTGTTTCTTCATCACAGTTGCCTTCCTGTTCTTTTCTTTTTAAAGTTAGTAACATTTATTATCTACTGTATGAAAGGTGATTTTTCCATTTTTTAAAGCATATAGCTGTTTTAAAATTTTTTATTAGTGAAACACCATGAAGTACAGTTGTAGACTTTGCAAACTTTCGTGCTTGGGTTTCAGTTATACAGTGATCGAGTATCCATCCCTCCACCAGTGCCCATTCTCCACCACCACTGATTCCAGTATCCCTCCTACCCTGCCTCTGTGGCAGGACATTCCCTTTTGTTCTCTCTCTCCTTTTGGGTGCTCTGGTTTGCAAAAGTGCCTTCCTGTTCTTGAGGGACTCCAGTAATCTTATATTCTTCTTGAACTCTTCTCATGTTCTCCTGTATGCTGTTCATTTCTTTACAGACTTATTTTCCACCTCCTGTTGTTTCCTAGCAGTTTCTTCATCTTAGAGCTTTTGCTCTTTTGCTGGTATTGTGCTGTTCAGAGCTTCTATTAAGGTTTTATTTTTTAATCATAACATGCTCTTTGTTTTCACATTTCTTATGCTAGTTTTCCCATTTCTGCTCTTATATTTTCTTAAGCATTGCTGATTATTTGTGCCATCATTTCTTTGAGTTCATTAAACATCTTAATCATGGTGACTCTAAAGTCATTGTCTGAGGATTTACTGAGCTGTTTTGTGTTTTTGTGCCTTTGGTCATATTATTTTTGCTCAGTGAACATGGTGGGTTTCTACATGTTTTCACTGTTGGTTTTCTAGTGTTCTTTGCTGGGGCTGAGTCAGTCTTTGCAGCTAGACCCTGTGGAAGATGCTGAAGGATAGGCTGGGGTTGCTCTCTTACTTCTCTGCCCGACTTTACTGAATGACACAGAGTAGAACTGTGAGTAGCGTGCAGTTTGCTAAGTAGATGTGTGCCGGGCTGAGCACTGCAGGAGCCATGCTGTGAGCCCATTAATACGGCGCAGGGTGTGTGGAGGCTGGAATGGAGGGGCTCTGCCTCCCTTTCCGGAGTACCCCCAGTGATGGCAGCCTTCGACAGCCTCACTGGGATGGTGAGCAGCAGGCAGAAGTTCAGGAACTGTGTTGTGGGCCCACTGCCGGGAGCAGGTGTAGTGTCTAGTTCTTAGAATGTTATTTTTTGTTTTGTTTTTGGGCTATACCTGGTGGTGTTCAGGGCTTACTCCTGGTCTGTGATCAAGAATTACTCCCAGCAGTGCTCAGGGGACCATATGAGAGGCCAGGGATTGGACTTGGGTTTTCTGCATGCAAGGCAAGTGCCCGACCCACTGTACTGTTGCTCCAGCTCCTAGGTTTTTTTTTTTTTTTTTTTTGGGTCACACCTGGCGATGCACGGGGGTTACTCCTGGCTCTGCACTCAGGAGTTACTCCTGGCGGTGCTCAGGGGACCATATGGGATGCTGGGAATCGAACCGGGTCTGCCGTGTGCAAGGCAGACGCCCTACCCGCTGTGCTATCTCTCCAGCCCCGCTCCTAGTTTTTTTTTAAAGTTTTTTATTTTATGTTTTTGATTGCCAAGGAGTTTATTTGGGCTCCTGTGGCTCAGAGAAGGTGTTGCTCCTCTTGGTGGTGAAGCAGGGCTTGTGCTGACACCTTAGGACCTGGTGGTGCAGTGGGAACTTGATCTTGGAGTCGTGGAACAGCTTGACTGTGGGCCAGCAGCACCTGCTGGCCAGGATCTCCTCCTTCATGATCTGGGTGGGGTGGGCGCGGTGCTGGGCATCCATGTCACTGTCTGCCGGGACAGTCAGGGCTGACGGGGCACCCTTGGCCCTGCAGACTGCTCCCTCTACCACATCAGTGGTGTAGAACCTCTAAATATGCTCTGTGGGGGCACAGCTCAGTCCCCCAAAGGTGACTAGATTCGCTTGCTTGTCAGCACCACTGTTTAAGCTTCCGCTATGAGGAGGGGCAGCTTTGGGCTTGGATACTCCCACTCTTAGCTCTTGAACTCTTCGTGAGCCGTGACCTGAGCTTGAGAAAACTGAGTTTTCAAAAGTCAAAGATACTGGGGCCAGAGGATAGTGTAGTACCTTGCACATGGTCAGCCAGTGTTCGATCCCCAGCACCACGTATGGTCTCCTGAGCCATAGACAGGAGTAAGCCCTGAGCACCACTGGTTGTGAAAATAACCGCGCCCCCCTCAAAAAAAAAAGTCTTTAGTTGTTTCCTCAGAGTCCTGTAGACAAGTGAAGATTACACAGTCTGACCTTTCATTGTGTCTGGATTCTTAGAGATGTGTCTCCCAGGATGTTACCGTGTGCTGAAATAACCCCCCAGTCTTTTTTAGCTGAGTGCTTGAGCCTAACTCAGTAGTTTCCTGGGCAGACATGAGCCAATTCTATGTAAACTATAGAAATATATACTCGAGTTGCAGTGACACATAGCAGGTAGATCGCTGCCCCACTGCATTGAAAGCAGTGAGTATCCAAGGGGGAACACATGTCTTCGGTGCCTACTATCACCCTTTTCCCCCCACCCCTCGTGGGAAAGGGTGAGGTCAGGAGTCTCAGGACTGGGGCAAGAGAGGAAGAAAAAGAACTAGGAGCCGGAGGAGCAACAGCTTCCTAAATTGATGACACATTTAACTGGTTCTTCAAGGTGCTGTAATAAAATACTCTTGAATCTTGAACATTAAGCACATTTGTGGGTGGAGTATACTGGCCTGTGGGGAAAATGAGACTTCGAGCTCCCTCTAGAGGCCAACTGGTGATAAAAATGTATCTTATAATAGGTCTCGGGGGGAAAATAAATGTATTTTAAAAAATTTTAAGTTCTTCACCCTCTCACCCTCAATTTTTATTGGGGTACCATGGTTTATAGTCCTGATAATGATAATTTCAGACACGCATAGTTTCATCAAACTGATTCACCACCAGTGTCCCAAGGACCCCTTCACAACCTTACCCTTTATCTCAAAGTAGCATTTTACGGATGCATTATCCAGAAGATATTTTTTATTTTGGGAATTGATTAGTTACTTTTGAGAATAAGTCTGGATTATTCTTATTCTAATTAGTTTATGTGGGGTCAACCCTAAAGTTTAGTGTTCGCCATCTAGACTGTTTTGAAAATGGGTCTGTGACCAAACAAACTGTCAGAACAAAAATCCCACTTCTTAATGGGGCTATTAAATGTTGAAAACAGGAATTAATTCCCGTGGTTTTTATACATTGGCAACTTTTGACAGTAAGTCCTTGCTCTCTTTTAGAGGGGCCATACCCAGCAGTGAGTAGTGGTGGATGCAGTGGGCTTGCTGGCTTACTGTTCTGCATGTCTGGGGGGAGGCCGGTTCATGCTGGAAATCAGATCCAGCTTTGCACATGCAGTCGTGCGCCCTCCCGTGAGCCATATCCCAAGCCTCCAAACAGTTCCCGCCCCTGCCCCTAAGGTAGGTTTGGGGTGGTGCTGGGGTGGGTTCAAAAGCTCAAATAGAACAGACTCCTAATTTTATTTATTTTTAATAGTTTTTTTTTTTTGGCTTTTTTGGGTCACACCCAGCAGTGCACAGGGGTTACTCCTGGCTCATGCACTCAGGAATTACTCCTGGCAGTGCTCAGAGGACCATATGGGATGCTGGGAATCGAACATGAGTTGGGTTGGCTGCGTGCAAGGCAAACGCCCTACCCGCTGTGCTATCGCTCCAGCCCCAGACTCCTAATTTTAAAAGAAACAAAGCTGTACAGGATACTGTGTTCTTGTGGTAGCACTTTTCCAGTGTGTGAAAAAAGGGTCACGTGTAGTAAATTTAAAAGCCCAAGTCAAGTCACAGGCTGTGTTAAAACTTTAGAGGACAAATACATAGTATTGTTTGTTTACTTTTAGGACCTCAGCTGACTAAATGAGAAATTTGTTCCAGGGTAAAAATCTTGGTCATATTTGAATATTCCAATGATGAGAGTTACTTATGGTGCCAGTAGTTAGTTCTTTTGTTCTCATTTATATTTTTGAGAACTCAAAAAAAGGTTGAAAGATTTTCTTTATGTTTTTAAACTTAGGATGTAACTCTAGAGTTATATCCATATTGATAATACTAAGAATATATAAAAGTCACACAGTTTTTAGAAAGTTAAAAGAGGCATGGAAGAAACGGATCTAAGAACTAACCCGAATGAATTGTTTAATACTAGTTTATAACCTAAAGTATGAGTTACGAGCTCATACTGACAAAATTAAATAAATTAGTGGGGAAAAGAGGGAAATTTCCTCTATGAAAGAATTCCAAATGACCTATGTAGGTTATCCCAGAAGGGTGGACTTTAACACCTCTCCTTTCTGGTAGGGGGTGGGGAGTGGGGTCTGTGATCCTTAACTCATATTGACTCCTTTCTAAGAATGGCATTCAGCTGGTGTTTTGCCAGTCCTCATAATTTGTATTGTGGTTATGACTGAAATACCTGATGACCCAAAACTGAAGGAACGTATTCTCAACTATCTAGCCAGTATTTTCCAAAATTGTCAGTGTCATTCAAAACTAGAGAAGTCTGGGGCCCAAGCCAGGGTGCAGCGGGTAGGTCACTTGCCTTGCATGTGGCTTGCCCAGCATCCCATATGGTCCCCTGAGCCCAGCAGGAGTGGTCCCTGAGTGCAGAACCAGGAGTGAGCCCTAAGTATCGCCAGGTGTGGCCCTAAAACACACAACACACAAAAACAAATTTTAGAAAGGCGAGAAATCTGAGAAACTATTACAGATCCGAAGAAGCTAGAGACGTCTCACAGTGTAGGTCCAGGATGAATCCTGAAACCAAGAAATAGGACACTAGGGAAAAACAATGGTGAAATCTAAGTCAAGTGTATAATTAATAAAATATTTCTTTCCTCTTGCAAGCCAGCGGGGAGAGATTGGGCCAAACCTGGCAGTGCTCGTGGGCCATTTCCAGCCCTGCTGTGTCCCGGAGGTGCTGCTGTGATCTGGCTGTGCTGGGGCTCAAGCCAGGCCTGGCCACCACACCCGTATTTCCTGTCAGAGCTCCAGCCGAGAAAATATTTCAGTGTTGGTTACTGAGTTCTTAGAAATATTCTATAGTAATGGAAAATGTATACAATAGGGGAGATACTAGGTGAGAGAGGATGAGTTTTATTTTTCTTGTCAACTTCTACTTTCTCCCTCACCTAGATAATGTTGAGTTCAAGTGTCTGAATACATGTGGTACATGCTCTGGGAAAGATATATCCTCTGAGGAGAGAGGTCATCGATACTCGGGTTTCTCTGCAAGTGAGAAATTCCAAGTATATAAAGATTCATTGACTTACCCTTGGTCAGATTGTTAATCATAGAACTGTGAATGACATCTTCTCTGGTCCTGTTGCCCTTGGCCTGGAAGTCAGAGTCGGCCAGCGATTGTAGGGAAAGAGCCAAAACTTAAAAAAAAAAATGCTAAGCGGGTTCATTTGCTGCTCCGGCACATGCTGCCCACATCTCTCCTCCTGTGATGTGTACTCTCGGCTCTCCGTCCCCTAAATCATATCTAAATAAAATAAATAAAAGCTGTATTTATCTCCCTCCATCCCCCAATAACATGCTAGGCAGGTGAGACAGGAGCAGGTGTTACTAAAGTCACTCCTTTACTGGGCAGTTAGTTTGTGTTTCTCTCCATCTCACTACTTCAGTAACAGGGTCCTGCTTTGTAGGGCATAGAACTAAAGTGTAAGGTAGAATTTTGGCAACAGTTTCTATTTTTGCTGTTGATTATTGACTGAGAGTTTATTATATTTTTATGTTGCTAGAATACAAAAAGTGTGAGTCATCAGTAGTACATACTGATGTCAACATGTTAAGGTTCTTTTCTGGAGGAGCCTTAGTTTTTAGTGCTTAGAGGTTGGCTATCCTGATTCTCCGCTTGGAGATTGCTTCTGGTGACCTGATGCTCGGGACCGCGCTGTGTCTCATTCAGGCCCAGACCTGCATGCACAGCTAGCCCACTGCCAGCAGAAGAAGCTTTCCATGCTCTGCTTTGTTCATTTTCTTCTTTGTTTCCGTCTTGCTAGTTTGTCTTGGTTATGGTTAGTTTTCTCCTTCTTCATACTTACAGTGATTTTAGAATGGGTATGTCAGTTTACCTTGATGAATGTTGAATTTTGTTCTAGCAGATAGTTAAATTCCTTGATCCTTTAACAGTCTGCTTTTACGCTTTGTTAGGACAAATTAGTCTTAGTGCTGATTCGCTGCCATTTATGATAGTGGTCAAAGGACTCTTGTTACATTAAGAGTTAGGAGATTCTCTGTGATAAAAGTAGAGAGAGAGTAATATGGAAATCATCTGCCCCACAGGTAGGGGGAGGGTGTGGGATGGGATTTTTGGTGATGGAGAATGGGCACTGGTGAAGGTATGGGTGTTTCATTGTATGACCGAGACTTAGACCCGAAAGCTTTGTAACTGCTCTCACGGTGATTCAATAAATAAAATTATATATATAAAAAAAGAGTTAGGAGATTCTGAACTCATCTATGGGAGCTCTAAACTTTCTGGTGACACTTTTTTGGGCTTTGTGCTGAGGTCTGTATTTCACCCAAGGTTCTAAGTGATGGCTTGTGTAAATTCTTTCCTCTGGGTGTTCTGCCCACACATTCACACATTCTAGCTGCTTTGGTTTTCTGTAGACCCCCAGTTCTGTCTCCATGTTTCAGTCAGATTCTTGAACTCTCACCGCTTGGATCCTTTCACAGCACTTCCTGGGTAGTAAGTTTGACAAATACAGGACTTTGTCATACTCATTGCTTGAAAACCTTTGTTTTATATTATTGTTCTATTTTTTAAGTCATTCATAGTAAGAGTATAAATTAAGATTATTTTTATTCTCTCTTGGCTAGAAACAGATACTAACTACAGTTCTAAAATTGGGCTCTTTGGGAGACAGAGCACACAGTGGGCTGGTTCACGTACTTTGCTTGCAGGTTCAATCCCTGGGACATTTGGTTCCCTAAGCACTTCCA